ACCGTTGCCGACACTCTTCGTCCCTCTCGACCCACGAGTCGTAATACTGGACGCACTGTCCGTACGACACACCCGACCACACGTCCACTTCCCGGCGCCGCCAGTGATACTCGCGTAACAGCCCGTCCTCTGTGTCCTCTTTGCCTGTATTTGTGGTAAAGTTTTATTATTAAAATTAATACAAACTGTAAATATTTTGTTAAGCAATAATATAAATAATTCTATTTGTTTCTAATAATTTATAATTGGTTCTGTCTTTAACGTCATTTATATTTTTAATAATATTTATACTATAACTAACAAGGTTAAAAATAGTAATATGTAATTAAACTATGCTCTATTCTTTTTACCAGAAACATAATCTTTATTATTACTGATAAATAAATACTGTAAATAAATTTCAAAATTATAATAAAATATGGTTAATTTATTTCTATTAATTAGTTTATGGAACGAAGAATTCTCAGCAATCTTTATTTTTAAATATACCGTAATTTAGAACAGGTTTAATAAATTTAAATTTTATATTAATATAACTATTTATATTCGTAACTTAATTATATCTAATTTTAAATTAACAAATTGCTATAATAATATAATAGCAACAAAAATATCAAAAATAATAATAAGTGTTACTCACCGACAATAAAATGCATTTTAACGGCATATTCAACACCATCTGTCCGTCTGGTGGCCCGGACTACGAGTCCCGATAGTCCGGCGCCCAAACACTGACCATCTAATAGAAACTCTTTGTGCAAATGGTTAGGTCTGTGATGGGTCTCAATGTCTATCACCGGTTCCAGTCTATCCATCAAACACTGTATGATTGACTCGACCTGTGCTTCGGCCATATGTTTGGCCGGCGGGTGTTGTTGACCATCATTGCTGGCGATCATTAATGCTTCAATCACTATTGGTTGAACTATTGACTCATTTACTGTACATAGGTCAGTTGTTGAACTTTGATAATCGTGAGTCTTAACGGGTTCGTCGTCCTGTACTTCTACTATTAGATATTGTGACGGCTCTACCATGTATTCAGTACCAGTGCTAAACTCAAACACATATGGTTTATCTAACTGTCCATTATTGCTATGATCTGTAGCTTCAATATCATTAACATTAACTACATGTTCATTAACATCTGGGTCACTATTAATGTCTTCATAGATGTCATGATCGCCAGGTGGAGATAATAATTGTTCGGTCGATGTATTAATTAACTGTTCATTTATCAACTGTTTGGCCGTCAACTGTGCCATAGTATTCAAATGCTTGTCATAACCGCTGGCCCTGTATTTAGCGCTTAGGAAATGCTGAACAAACTCAGTGATTATGTCATACGTTGTGTTTTCAACACTGATTGTGTCGGTAATCATCGCCCGGATCTCACTGTCCATCGGTTGCATCCATTGGTCTCTAATGTATAACAAGTCTATACACGAGTGACGGACAGTACTTATGCCAGTCGTTAGGTTTA